AGAGCAAAGAAGATGTTATGTACATGTACCAATAATTCCCATGCAGAACGCCAACGTCATGTACTAATAAGCTAAAATCTAAAACAGTGCAGAGTACAAGGGAAAAAAGATGCGCTTATCTAGCTTGAGCAACTTGGTGACTTACCATGACCCTGTCTCAAAAAATAAAAAGGGCTGAGGCTTTATATATATATGATATATATATATATATATATATCATATATATATCATATATATGGGTGGGTTTACCAAAATAAACACATTGCAGGAACTATTCACTCATACATAAAAGTTTTTCTCCAAAAATATTTATTTATCATCTAGCCACCATTTCTCAGAATTAGGACAGAAAACTAGAGTTATTTTTCTGTTATGTATGATTTATTCTTTAAAGTTATCTAGCATTAACCTAACAATCTGGAAAAATTCATGTTTTGTGATAGATTGTTATTAGCTATCAATTTCATTTCAAATAGCATTGTATTTCACATCATGAGGGCAGTATTTTATAGGCTGTCTGGATGAGATAAAAATATATCTATATCCCAACAAAACTTATATTTTACCTAAATATAGATATTGGAAAAACGCTTTTTAACATAAAGTTTCTTTTTTTCTTCCCCTCATATTGGGGACTGAACTCAGGGCATCAACTATAGTACATGAAAGCTGTATCACTGAGCTACAACCCAGCCTAAAGAGACTATTTTTTAAAAAATGCAATTGTTAAATATTTTATCATAATTCAAGGCAACTGCAATTTAAAAAGTGTATAAAGGATTAATTGTACTATTTCTAACTTTGTTTATTAAAAATGTTCATTTTCATTCTTAACTTCAGATTATGCGTTAAGATTAGCTGATGAAGTGTTAGTCGTATGTGTTTTACAGCTACTTAGATTAGAAGATGCTAGACCTAGGACCTCTGAAGGAAAGAGCACTGGTATGGCATCGGTGTGTCCCAAGCCGTGCAAAGCTGGAATTCACTATGCTCAGACTGGCTCCCACCTCTGCTTGTGGTCTCATTCTCAGTCTCACTATAGTAACCGCCCCATTCCTGTTACTGTGTGGGGCTGGCTGACGCATCAAGTCTCTTACATGTCTCTTCAATGTTCTCTGACATTGAATTTTTGATATGATTGGTAAGAAATGCCTCCCTATAATTTAACTTCCTCTTTAAAATGTTCACATATTATATCATTCATTTTAATATAAATGTTCATGGATGAGAAAGGTCACTTTTTCCATAGTAGAATCCAGTAAGAAAAATACAAAGCAACATTGGAACCTAAACAACCTGTAAAAATCTTATCAACATATACATATTTCTATAATGATCTCAACTGTTAAAGTTCCTGCAATTTTCTGTGTACATAAGTAAATGCACATATGTGTACACAATTGTCTGTATCTGTGATTCTACATCTGTGGATTCAACTGATCACAGATTAAATGATCAGAAACAGGAAAAATGTTTTATCTGTATCGAACATCTGTAGATTACTTTTCTTGTCATTGTTCCCAACAACCACTTATAAAGAATTCCCAGGCCAGCAAGAATTACAAGTAACCTCCAGACAATCTAAATGCTTGAGAAGACGCTTATGGGTCATATGCACTACGATGCAGCTTTGTACTAGGGACTGAGCCTGTGACGGCCACACTGCGGCGGGAGGCACGTCCTAGACCACCACCTGTGGATACCAAGCGAAAATGAGAAGTTCACTAGTGAAACGGGTCGAGTCATATCAGCAGTAGTGTTTAACAGGAGAATTGCTATACACATTTTTATGGTTCCTACACTAAGCATATCCTATGGTTTAATGTTAAAGGTTTTATATAACATGTGTTATTGAATTCATAGTTGTGTTTTATACATTGACTTCTCTCAAGCATTTTTTAGAAAACAATATATTCATCTTTAAAAAGTTATAAATTATTAAGTACTAGACTTCATTTCACCCGTGCTGGAGTATAAGGTTTAAAAAGACCACATATTTATCAGTGAGAAAATAGTTGAGAAGGTTACACTATGAATTTAAAAATTTCCTATCTTTCTGCATATTGAACAATTTTTTTTTACAAAACTGTATGTGAAGTACTAATGAGTACAGTCTCATTAAAAAGCGATCATCTGGAAGTGTTGAACGAAGACAGTCACTAATTTAGTAGAACTTATTGGCCATTCAGTGATTCATTATCAAACAATATTAAATATTTATGGAATACCACCGTGCTCAAGCAGCAGAACTAGTAGAACACCAACTCATTAGCTGACATTGGTTAAGTCTAATACTTCCAATCATCAATTATTATTTGAGTTGATAAATATAGCAATAAAATAATAAGATAAAGTAATCCAATGTAATTAAAAATGAGACACTAATGGAATGGATGCATTTGGAATTTTGTGTATGGAGCTCAAAAGCACTGACGGTATTAGAATCAACGCAAAATAAAAGCCAGGTTGTTCTTGCTTTGATTATGATAATGTCATACTTTTAAGACCATGGAACATTAATTTTCCAAGTTGTAGGACCACTACATTCTGACAATAATTTTGGAAAGGCATAGTATTCAACTGAAAAAAAAAAGGATCCAGAAGCTCAGTCTAGAAGTACATTATTCCAGTTATCACAAAAAAGCTTGAGTTATGGGGGTACCAAATGACTCAGAAAAGAATAAGCCAACCAAGCTGTAAGAAATTAAAGCTGCTCTTAAGAGGGTCTAAAGTGACTGCAGCTGCGTCCGCCAGGACCTCCGGGTCCCATCTGACTGGCTGTCAGCAGTCTGCAGAGGAAGCCACTCCAACCTGAAAACACCCGCTCCTCACATCCTTGGAGTTTGCTTCCCACCTCCCTGGCATCTTCTCAAAACCTCCTGGCTCCTGTCCTGCCGCCTGCTGACCTTGTCGCGCCAATGGCCAAAGAGCACCACACAGGCTCTATCTCGGGCCACGCCCCCCCGACCGCCCCCAGCGGCGCACTCACTTCATTAGCCACTGTGCCCACTCACTGAGCCACCTCACTGAGCCATCACCTGCCCCCAGACATTAAAGCTGTGCTCTGGCCACGCCACTGCCCTTCCAAACCCTTCCACGTCTTCCTCTGCAATGACCACAAAGCACGAGTGTGCAGCATGATCTCAGAGGGCGGTGACGCTCGTTCAGAACACTGCGCGCTGCACTTCCCAGGGTCAGCAGAATGAAACCGCCCGTGGCATCCTCAAACAGGCCCCTGCCGCTTGCTTTAGGACCTTTGGCTGTGGGCTGATTTCTCATTCCTTAAGTCTCAGCCCAAAGGCTTTTCTTGTAATCCAACCTCAAGTAGGAGGTTGCTTCTATTCTCTCAGGGGCGTCCTATTATTCTTCTGCAATTCTATTCCAAAGGTCTATTGACAAATGTGCTTATTTACATTTATTCTCTTCCTGCCCCTACTCCACTGTAGCTACCGAGGAACAAAGACTTTTATTCACTCTGCACTTTTCTTCCTACGCAGTGAAGAATACATGAAATTGTGTTGAGCTAATGGAATAAAATGAAATAAGATTTTTCCAGTGTTTCTGGTTTTGAATTGTCTTAAAATTTAGTTCTTCATTGCAAGTAGCAGATCATCAAACAGTCAGAGGACAGATTTCCTAAGCTTTAAGTTTACAGCAGTAATTTTGTTTCAGCTCCATGCAATTGGAGTCACTTTACTCGCGGGGGAAGAAATGTCAGTGCAGAGACGCATGAGTCCCTACACAACTGAATGCAGTTCCAGGAGTGGTGTTTGCAGTATTAGGAAATACTCTTCAGCTGGTGCCTGCAACACTGTGCTTGAAAGTCAATTTCAGTGAGAGGAACAGAACTCAGATGTGAACCAAAATGGGCAGTCTGCAGTGCGCTGAGGCCCGGAGGAAGGGCCCCCTGACATTGCAGCCACGTATGTGTGAGACTTTATCTGCACTAACATTCCTCAGGACTTCCTGCTGCTCTACTTAACAGTTCTACACCTGTCCCTTTACAATCGGCCTGCATCTTTCATTGCATTACCCTCTATTTCTCTTTCTTTGGTGTTTAAAAAGAGTAACCCGAAGCTCTCTGCTCATCTTCAAAGTGTTTCTCCTATATTCTTTCCCTTCCCCTCTAAAAATTAGAATCAATTCTATTTTTATTATGTGTATTTCAGCTTCTTCTACTCATTTTAAGTCTAACTTTTGAGTCAAAGTCTGTATTTACTTAACTTCAATAATTTCCAGCCTTTTAGATGCCTTTTAGATGTACCTGCAAGAAGATATTTCATTTATCTAATACAAATCAGAGGCACTTACTATCCTAAGAACCTAAAATGCATTAATATACAAAATTAAGATCTTTATCCTGCCCAAGTTAACATTCTAGCAGGGGAAACAGGAAATCAGCAAGAGGCATAATGTGTTGGTGAGTTACACAGTGAGGGAGGATGGTGAAGGTCACTGCGGAGACTGACAGCCCAGGAAGGAAGTGGTGGGAGGCGTCATCCAGGGGCTGCTCACAAGGAGGTGAGGCTGGAGGCAGACTTGGAGAGCCACCCGCCTTGTCCCTCTGAGCTGCCGAGCTGCCGCTGCCCTCCTGCAGGTGCTGGTGCTCACAGTGTGCTGAGTGAGCTGCTACGCCACAGGTCCCGAGACCCAGAGGCCCATGGAAGTCTGTTTCTGTCCTGAGCTCACAGCCAGCAGGAGCAGAACCACGCAGCAGACACCCTACGTGTTAAGTGCTTAGGAAATGTGTGAGTACAAAGCACAGAACCAGAAGCACTAACTCTGCTGCTACATCTTGACTGATTTTGAGCTCTAAGATGAAGCGGTTTCCTTCCCTCAAGATTTCTCATGGTGTTGGCTGTTCCCCACAGTCCTTCTGTGTTGTTCCACTGTACACATTAGGGTTGTGACATGTATTATTTCAAAAAGATGTGGGCCAGTGCTCAGGCATTTGAAACTCTACTGACTCCATTTCGCTTCTGCAATAGTTTTATGACCCATTCAAAGAAAGCATCTCATCTTCTTGATGGCATTAAATCGGATACTTTTCTTCTCAGATTCACTTACATGTTCAGGACAGCTCGCCTTACTAGGTTCGTGGCATCTCAGGCCACTTACAAGCTGCTTTTCACACAGCCTCTTTCTCCTGTCTTTTCTTCAGATCCGTTATCCTGAAGATGCCTGATATGCAGCTCCTAATCTCATCTCTCTAGCTTTCCATTTCATCTCTAAAGCCTTTGCTTCTTCATGCTCATACTTCGAGTTTCTTCATTTATTATATTGGGACCTTCACACGTGGTACCCACTTTCTGTTATTTAAAACATGTCACAGGGCACATCTCTGGATTAGGACTTTTCCTGTTCTGTCATACTGGCAGCCTCCACAGAAAGCATTCTTCAATTTTAAATAGACTTCTTCTTACTTCTCACATTCTGGTGTGAAGATTATGAAAATGCCAGCTGACTTTCCCCAAAGATGTTTTCCAAGGCCTCATGAAACGTACTCTCTCTGTGGCCTGGACCACTGGAACACAAGACCATGACTTAGTGACTCCGTACGCAGCAGCACTGCCTGAAGGGGCTTTGAAGGGCACCTGTCTCCCTCCTGAGGAACCTGCGCCCATCCTGCAGCGAGGACCCCTCGGCTGAGGACAGGGAGCACTTCTCACACCCTGGGTGGAAAGCAGTGGGCGGGCCAGGTATGGAGCCTCGCCCTGTATTATTATTTGACTTCATCCACATAGCAGTTAGAAATATATTAGACTGGATTTAAAAATTTTAAGTGTAGATTCACTTGGCCTGTTTCCCCTGCCAGCCTCTCTTGCTGCACAGATTCTCCAGGAAAGCACGACAGGCTGGGTCTGGGAGACGGGCCCAGGAGGCCCGGCCCTTACCCCGACTGAGGCAGCACCGGGTCCCTCTGGAAGCTATGGTGAGCCAGCTGTCTCTTTAACAGTAAGTGATTTTAGGCAAATTGTTTCTGCGCTCTGTCCTTGGTTTCTGCTCTAAACCCATGTGCATAACTTCTGCCTGCTCTGCACAGAACGCTGCTGGGCTCCTTCTCAGCTTTGAGAGCTTGCAGTTGGGAAGGTTCCTGCTCCTTCTACGTGGCTCAAGGCCTGGCCCAAATCTCCATGCCCTCTTGTTATGGGAGCCCAGGAAACTCCTCCTCACCCCATGAGACTTCTTCTAGACAGCCTGGTCAGATATCACTGCCCTTAGTTGGAGACAGCAGGGCACGGGTGTGACCTGCGGAAAGACATGGGTTTGGGTTCGTGTCCCAGCGCTCATTCTGCCTGGCTCAAAAGCGCACTTGGACAGCTCCCTGCACTCTCTACGCCTCAGTTTTTTGTCTGTGAATAGGAGACAGTAACACCACTGTGAGCACTGCCTCCTGTAACAATGAGCGCGAGGCACTGAGTATTCAATAAATGACACTATCATTATTATTGCTGTTATCATTGCCATTTTTATGTTATTTTCAATGAATACTTTAATGGTTTGCTCCTCCCAAATTGACCCACGCAACATGAATTTTAGAGAGGTAAGAATTTATGTTAACTGGAATTCAGACCAGGCAAAATTAGCATCTCTTCTCAACTTTTAATATACAATTCTAATATAATTTCCTTTCTTATGGTTTTTAATAAACTGTTATAGAAACCAAATAAGTCATGATACAGAGTAAAATTTTGTATTCCAATGGCAGATTACTGAGCCTATTTTTGCTTCAAAGCAGTTCTCAGTGCTTAGCTTGCCCCAGGGTCACATGGGAAGTTGGTTCTGCTTCGCAGACTTAATCCAGAGACCCAGAAACCTGCATTTTAAACTACATCACTTCAAATGATTCTAATGCAGGTGGACCTAGGAACCTGATGCAGTTCTCCTGATCTCTAAGCTCATAACATGAGTTGTGGCAGACAGGGAGGCAGGCAAGCTCACACGTGCACAAGTGCGTGCACACACACAGTGGCACAGAAGGTTTTTATTGTGAAAGTTCTGTTATATGTTGATTATTCACTGCAAACACGTACCAAATCAAATTAAGTAAATCAAAATGTGATTCATTTTCTAGGCCTTCTCCAGCAAGCATTCAAGTCAGAAAGTATTCACATTGTTTTGCATATGATCAGCTTGTGTTCTGACTAGAAAGGGGCATTACACAGTGGAGGAAGGAGGAAGAAGAAAGAAACAAGAAAGAAAAAGGATTTTCTTCCGTTAGGCACAGAGTAAGTCCTGGCACCCCTCCCAAAGGGGCGAGGCCTGGTTTCACATTCCGAACACACTTCCTGCAGTTCTTTTCTTCTCCCTGCCTCCCTGGGCAGTCAGTCACCCCCCTTACTTCCTCACCAACTTGATGCTCAAAATTTTCAGCAATTCCAGGGCCACCAGCTGCACAGCGTCCCTGCTCTGATGGGAATCACACTGTGCCAGCACTGATCTCACCCTGGATAGCATGGAAGTGAACTGGTGGGATGGATTTATCTTTAAGAGAGACCGTTGGGTCTGGGGACATAGCTCAGCTGGCAGAGTGGTCCTCCTGCCAAGCACAAGGCTGTGTTTGATCCTGGTACCAAAAAGCATCTGGCAGGACTGGCACTACAAAGTACATTTCTCTGGGACAGCGAGGCTCTCCCATGGCTCAGGTCTCTGCCAAAGCTTCTCTCATTCCTACAAAACTCAACACGGATTTGCTGAAGAGTCCAAGGAAAATTTTTTAAAACTCAGGTATTATAGAGATAAAGTTTAGATTGCTTTTTCAGTTACGTATTTAACATTTTTTAATAAGAACTCTATCTACTTGTACATATTCTTAATATACTCAAATTTCACTACTTTGTTCACAGAAACGGAATGATGGCTTTAGAACAGCTCCTCTGAGCCAGAACAGACGCATACAGCAGTGTGAGCTATAATACCAGCACCAGGGCAGAGAAGAAAGGCTCCTGGTGAAGAGGCCCAGCTTAAGGCAAGGCAGCCAGCACACACGACAGTTAGCACCTTCAGGACTAACCGGGTATCACCTAGTTTCTGTGACATCGTTACCATAATGTAAACACTAAAAAGACCATTAAAATAGGATCCAAATTTACAGGAGTCTGACTTCTCCTCAACGCTGCGCACAGAGACAGGTTTGCATGTGAGATACTGTGTACTATATTTAGGTATATTTTAATGTAGTCCAGATGTGAATCACGGCTCACAGGTTTTATTTTATTCAAGTAGCTAAATGTATTTGGGTTAAGTTTATGCCCCAAACTATTCTTCTGGGTTTTATCCAGCACTGTTGTGGCTAGAATGGCAGGCCACACCCCTCTGCAGCACCTGCAGCTGTATTGACGTGGAGCAACTTCATATGCTCGGGACACTATTTAAAATATTCAGGGTGTAGACCCGGCGTCTCTCTCTCACTCCACTGAGAAGTAGCTATAGGGGTCCTCTACCTACAGAAATCGCCAAAGCAAAATCTCAGGTCAAATGCTTCGGAGTTGCTTCTTATTTACTACTCCAATTATTTCAATGAGAACAATTAAAATTAAATGCCCAGTGTCCAACTGCATGGAAACCAATCTTTAATATTTGTGTTGAAAATTCCATTTGTTTTGCATGGTCCTAAGTGGCTAGATACTATTATTAGTGACATATGTCAACTGAAGTGACATTTATCTTGAAAATATTTTTGAGAAGTTTGTGAGGGTCTTGGAAAAACACAGAAACCCTATGAGTTAGGAAAGCACTGAATCCCAGTGCAAATTAGAATTTCCATACAATTCCCCTAAACCTAAGTATGTATTTAGGATAAAACACACATCCAATTATGCTTTTAAAATTATTTTCTAAATTATTTTATGCTAGAATTTAAACTATGTTTTAGCATACAGTAGCATAGTATAACACTATTATTTGGTCTGAGAAATCATAATTGTATACATGTAAGATGTAAAGCAGTCATGTTTCAATAGATATGTTCAATGTGGTATGAGTAAACAAGCCTGCAACACATCTATTACCTCACTTACCTATAATTTGTTATGCTGAGATTTTGAAATTCACTCATTTTGAACATCAATACGTTGCTGCCCGCTGCAGTCACCCTGCGGTGCAGTACATCGTGTCTGCTGGGAATTCTGTACCCTTTACCAACAAGTCCTCATCTTTTCCTACCAACACCCCACCACGTCGCCGGTTACACACTGTCTACTCCCTGCTTCTGTGAGATCAGTGTTATCACGTTCCACTTGTGTGGCTGTGCAGTAAGAGCACGCACGTGGAGAAACAGAGGTCTCTTCCATAAGTGGCATTAGGAAGCACAAGAGGCACACGGAGGAGCCTAAAGTTAGATTGACCATATATAAAATTCAACTTGCAGTGGATTGGAGGACTTAAGTATAAGACTGTAAAACCACTAGAAGGAAACATAGGGCAACACTCTATGGCACTGATCTGGGCGATGACATCTTTGGATATGATCTGAAAAGCAGGGGTACAAAAGCAAAATCAGACAAATAGAATCATACCAAACTGAACAGCTTCAGCACACCACCACCAGCAGCGAAAACAATGTGAGCACGAAGATACAACCTGTAGAATGGGGCAAAATATTTACAAACCACACATTTGATAAGGGCCTAACATCCAAATGATATAGGGAACTCGAACAGCTCAATAGCAACTAACCCAAATTAGAAATGGACAAAGGACTAGAACAGACACTGCTCAAAAGAAGACATACAAATGGCTGGCAGGCACACGAAAAAAAGCCCTGCACCACTGATCATTAAGGAAATACAAACTAAAACCACACTTGTGAGAATGGCTTTTATAACGAGAGGTGAAAGGAAGCTGCTGGAGAGGAACAGAGGAAAGGGAGCTCGCACACTGGTGGAAATGCAAATGACAAAACCAGTATTGAAGATACTGCAGCCAGAGAGATAACACTACTCAAACAGTGAGTGTTCTTACCAAATTTAAAATATGTATATCAGAATTTTCTTTCTTAGTCACAAATGCGGTCAGTAAGGTTTCCTCTAACAGCTTGTTCTGAGCATGATGAGACTCAGTACAGCACTCAGCATGGCACTGTATGCAGTGTTACAAAGTATGCATTTTCAAAACGCAGTCCAGTGACACCACAGTGCAGTGGTCAAGAGCAGACTGAAGAGTTCTCTGACATCACACTGGAGCTGAAGAACTCCTCTCCCCCGTGACACTGCAGCAGCAGTACGGTGACAGCACGAAGCCTGACTCCCGAGTTTGGTGATGCTGTGTAGAAGCCCACTGTGCTGCCAGGCACGTGAAAGCACGGCACCTGCTACTCTGTGCAGCCCCAAATGCTTGTTGGTGATGAGGACGTGTCTTTGCCTTTCTTTCTTGTTCACGTGTACTGCTTACTAAATTAAAACAAAGGTTTACTGAAAATCAGCCTGCTGTCTGGCTGCCAGCAGCCTCATCTATCGTGTGTCCTCTGTGTCTCTGGCACATCAAATGACTGACCAATACCCCCTAGGCACGTGGTGTAAGCAACAGCTTACACACGAAAGCTATACCATGCTTCTCAGAACTGATGAGTGAACCATGCATGGCTGTATTACTGAGCCTTAAATAATCAATCACCAGAGAGATACTAAACTATATCGAAAAATGATCTTATCCTTCCAGTGCAGGCATGGTTGACATTTGCTTCTCAGGTGATTTTCCTACTGGAATTCATAAGCTTGAAAGTAAATAAATTCTTACTAATGAACATACTTGTCAGAGAGACAGAGGTTGGAGAGAATTGGAAGCAAAGAAGGAAGGACAGAGGGAGACGAGAGGGAGTGAGAGGGAGGGAGACAGAGGGAGATCTTTCAATGATGGCAACATCCGAGCTTCTCTTTTATGGTAAAACTACATTTTTGGGTTCATAAATGTTATAGTAAAAATTCTCATTAGGCTGAAGTAGAAAAACAAACATTTTTCTAAGACAACTGCTCTGTAGGGAAATGCATTTTTTCCAGAAAATAGGATAACTGACTTAAACAGAACTTTGCTATAGGATGAATGTTAATTAGCTCTAACCTGATGAATCATTGCATCACTTGATTTTTTTATTAGTGACAGATCAGAAATATCCAAATATTATAAAGTTAAAGACCGGTCAGTGCAAGCTGACTTGCACTTAATTGATAACTTCTTTGAAACTGACAAAGCTTCTAATATCTTTTTGCCTCTTTCCTGATGTGTTATTTTCAACATGCTTCATCCTTTGGCCTTAACCCCAGAGAAATTAGAGAACCAGAGAACTCTCTTTACACACTCTAATAATCTGATGGGACGAGTCAGGGCCCAAGACTCATATACGAACGAGATGAATTAGAAGATTATTTTCAGCATGAAAATACCTATGTATGGGGCTGGGGATTTAGCTCAGCGGCATAAGCGCCTGCCTTGCAAGCAGGCAGTCGTGAGTTTGACCCCTGGTACCGATAAAAACGAAAAAGACCAAAAAAAAAAAGAAAAAGAAAAAGAAAATACCTATGTAGTTTTCATGGGACAGGAATGGACAAACAGCCATACTTTATGCAAATGACTCTCTTTTCATCTGAGAGCCAGGAGCCACCCACCATCCGGACCAAGACTGAACCGGCAGGCTTTGGCCCCACCATCCACCATCCACACAAGGATCAGAAACTGTGCTCACCCTGCAGAGGGAAGCACGTCCCCCTGCCATTAATCCCAGGAACTTCGGTCACTTGGTGTGGCCCGAGAAGTTTTTAAGTTTTAACCTATGCTGTGGAGGAACAAAATACATTCAATGTCCTTTTCAAATTTTTAAAAATATAAATTATTTAATATGTAAATTAGTATATAAATTGTGAATTTCCAATTCCGAGAAGTAGAAATTTGCTTTAATTTGTTCATTATTTATACATAAGCAAAATTCATCACATATTTATGTTACATTATTACATGTGCACATGTGACCTGCTATTTGCCTAGCTGAAAATGAAGCAAATGACAGAAACTAGATCCTGCTAAAAGAGAACGCTAAATGTAGGTAACAAACACTTTGTCCTCTCTGGCCTTCCCTTTGCTTGATTTTATCTTTCTCAGCCTCTCCTTAATGCCTCCCACCCCAAGAGGGGAAAAGGTTAAAACAAACAGCAAGAAGAGAAAAATTAGATTTAACATTTTTCAAATGTTTGGGAAAGTAAAATATTGGTGGAAGAAGTCTTGAAAGTCAACTCATTTTAACAATTCAAAACGTGAAAGGAACAACGTCTTTCTTACTTCTAATGGCCTGAAATTCCTATGCAATGGCAAACCAGTTACTGAGAATGTCAGTGCTCTCTGAGTCTTCTGACAAAGATGCACACACATCCAGCTCTATGGAACGGGGCACAGCCCAGCCTGACGTCAGAACTGCGGACGAGTCTGCATAGCAGAATTAGACCCAGACCTTGAAGCCACAGAGTGCCATGAGAATTATGTTTAAAACTCTCAGAAAGACGCAGTGAAAGACCTTATGTTCAGGCAGTGAATTTCCTGTCCTGGGAGGAACTCGGTAGAGGCCAGTGAACTCTGCAGATGACAGGAAAAGACTCAAGCAATGAGTGGGGTAGGTGGTGGGTGGCTCTCTTCTGCTCTGGTAATCTACAACCTTTGGAGAAAAGTAATCTTTTTGTCTTTAGAGATTCAGATGTAAAACTTTGCTCATCTCATAATTTAGTAATAATAACATGTATCAATTTACAATTTTGAAGCCATTACTCAGCATTTGGTAGAAAATATAATTTAAATAGGTGTGCCTACATACCTGGGGTACGTTTGGAATATATCTCTCTGTAATACTGGTGCACCCTAAATAGTATAAGGAAAACAAAAATCATTCCACAGACTACCCATTGTCCAATTTTCTATTATAATCGTTTTCTAGACTCACTTCTCTCTCTCTCACACACACACTCACACACACACACACACACACACACACACACACACACACACACATACCCCACACTGAAACGTAGTGAGAAAGGAACCACAAATCACTTCTTCCATAGAAAGCAAAGCTTTCAAGTCTTTGGAATCCCACTGTGGGCATGGTGTTCA